AAAGCGAACTAACTATAGAAACACCAATGTATGACCACAATCAGATTCGCCCACAAAAGACAATAAATCAAATACGATCTGATTAAACATTTTTTTATTACAAAGAGATGTTGGGAAAAACACACACACAAAGGATAATTATAATTATATATAATGAATCCCCAAGTAAATGTGTAGTAATAATGAATTGATATTTGGATAAATAAGTACAAGTGATAGGTATAAATACAAAAATGGGAAATTGGGAATTATTATATGATGAAATATTTCATAACCGTTCATATATATGAATATTTTCCTCAGACAATATTAATTCTCTTATCCGACATAATGTCCCATTCTCGAATGAATTTGGTATGAAGTAATGAATGAAGTAGATTAATGGCACATGACTACATGTATATGGATTTTTCAAGCATTATTTTTCGTTACCCATCTTTTTTAACTATAGCAAGTATGCCCTCCGATTTGTATATTAATTATATACATATATAATAATATTTAATATTATTATCATTTTATTTTTACACTTTATAATCTATAATAATTTAATGCTTGACTCATATTTTAGGTTTAAAACTTACCGTACTTATCACTTGTCGTATTTGAGATATATGGATCGGTAGTTTGTTTTTTTCTTTTTGTTATTCTTTTATATATATTATACATTTGATGTTTGAATATTTGTTTACATCACTTTTTAAATTAATACTTGTTTTCCGCAAAGTTATTTTCAAAATATAGTCTTTATTATATATTTGATTTATAGTCAACTATATAAGATAATATTTGGCTCATTGGTGCTTTAAATTAAGTACGTGCTTTTAGACATTTTTTTAGATAGTGCTTTCAGAAATTTTAGCGACTTCGTAGTCTTATTTTAAGATTATAGAATATTATAGGTAGGTCTATACATATTATATAACATATTTAGCTGCTTTTAATATTTTAGATAAAAGTGTTTTATGTATTTTTGTACAAATTAAATTTCATATATTAATTTAAATAAATTAATATAAATAAATTGTATTGCATATTAGTTTTACTTTTGTAATTTATAAATATCATTTATTATTAATTATCCATGCATACCGTGAAATTTTGTATTAATTAGTATATGATATATATATATAGATATATTGGTATGGATTTTGTTTAGTAGGCAAATAACTCTCGCGAGATTTTGCAAAAGCAAAAGGAACCCAAAAAGATAAAAATAAAAAAAAATAAAAAAATAAAAAACTCATAATCCATCCATCCATCCATCCATCCATTTTGAGAAGGAAATAAAGAAGAATAATAAAAAGAGCCGCCTTCAGTGCCAAAGCACTTTCCTAATTGTATTTCTGATTTTCTATTTTCATTTTCTTTTTCCTTGTNACAAATATTTTTAACAAGTGAGAGCACGTTTAAGTTATTCAAAGTGATTTCATTGTAGATCTATTAAGTAATGATAATATTGTATATATATAAAAAAACTAAAATCACGTTCCACACAATATAAATATTTATATTTATTAATTTATATTGCCACAAGTTGATCTACAAAACTGTCTTATACATATATTTATGACTAGTTAAAAGTTAAAAGAGAATAGGTACATAATATTGTATATAAAGATGTACATAACACTCACATTGCGTAGGATCTACTAAAAATAAAAAATTGAGTGTTATGTATACCTCTATGTACATTTATTATGTACTTGTAGCATTTTCTAAGTTAAAAAGTGTAATTATTAATTTTGAATAAAAAACTACCGGACATGGCTGCCATTGGAAATAACTTTTTTTTTCTTCTTGAGTTGCAGGATATTTTCTTTTGGATGAATCTACATAGAGGTACAAATTTAATTCATAATTCAATATTCATGTAACTTAACTTAACTTTACGCGATATTATCAATATAATTATTAACATCAATAAATTCAATCAAATTCACTGTTCATTAATTCACATAATTTTTAACTACTAATTATTTACAATCACTATTTTACTACTATTGCATTTCAACTCATACACTTATTAAATCTTTTAAATCTTAAATATTTTTATTTAATAAATCAAATTATATAAGAAAAAACTAACTTCCAATTGTTTTTTTTTTTTTAAAAATTGTCTCGTCCTTACTACGTGAGATGAAAAGGTAACAGACAACATGAAAAAGAAAATGTCATACATTTGGAATTATGAATGAATGAGAGATTAAAATATGATATTTGAAATTGTGAATAAAGAGATTAAAATATAGTAATAGTTAAAGTTCATATAATAAAAAAATAATAGAATATTAGTAGATAAAATTGCTAGTTAGAAATCTATGATTAGATGAATATTATTATTCGTCAGAAATTATCAACTTTTTATTTTCTTAATTGTGTTATGAGATTATAGAGAAAAAATATTGAAATAAAATTATAATTTTTGTATTTTTTTAAATTTCAGTTTTAATGAGATTGATAAACATACCTTATTTTTTTAATCGAATCGCCACCCACGGCCCACCTTAGACTTCGGGTTTTTTTTGGACTTTTAATAAATAATAAGTCACCAGGTGCTTTTCTTTTTTTTTTCTTTCTTATTAATTATTTTTTATCTTCACGTGATTATATTAAAAATCACATTGTTCAATAAAAAATGCTATAGAGAGAGACCGATATATGACTAGTCACGGTTTTTAGAGATCCTTATTTTAATATGTAATTTTGAACTGAATTCTCGAGGCTTCTTTAACTTCACCAATTGTGCCTGCGCAGTCTCTTTAATGGCCTAACTTGGTTTGACTTCATTTTAAACTCCCATCATCCCATAAGACACAATCGAGATAAAATATAAATATTTTCCAAAAAGGTGTCACATCCAATACACACATCGAATTAAATAAATTTACGTATTGGATTATATCTATAATTGTATATATTAAAAATAGTTTATGTGGTTAATGTCTAAAAAATGATAACTAGGATATGAATTAAAGATAATCACAAAATTCATCAATCGTTCTTTTATAGGTCACGAGTGCATGCATCGAGTGCCGACATTAAAACTTTTGTAAGCAATTTGCTAATTTAGTAATTATGGTGCTTAATGGCATATCAATCAACACCACATAATTAAATGCCTAAATTCGTAGTCCGCACGCTTACAAATTGTGATGATTAAAGCATAAAGCAAGCAGAATTTAAGCTAAATTGCCAAAAACAGTAGCTACCATATACTATAAATTAAATACTACTAATGATCTGATGAGCAAACAAATCTAAATCCAAAAACATTTTCTGAGCTGTCAGGTCAATATAGATATCCATATGAATGTGTATATACATTTAATATGATGGCTTCAAACTTTAGGTGAGGGCATTTTTGAGCCGTCGGATCAATATATTTACATTAATAAATGTGTATGTGTGATCTGACAGTTCAGACTTTCGCTTGGCTTGAGCATTTTTAAGTTGTCAATAAATAACAAATTCATCTTAATATATATGAGTGTGTATTTGTGTGATCTAACCATTGAGATGTAGGTTGAATTCTCCATATATATAACTTACAAAGTGACTTTAGACTATTATTAAGTCAATTTCTTACTTAACTTTTCCTTACTAATGATGTGTTAGGGAAAGTAGGTTGGAATTTACCTATTAAAATCACTTTTACTCCACAACTTTTTTTCTAAATTAGGCACTCCATATGAAAGTCTCTCATCTAAAAATGTTTTTTTTTTTTCAAACCGTAACCCAATTAGATAGAGTATACTTTTCCAATATATATAAACATATTTTTATCTTGAAGTATAATATAATAAAAATACTATTTAATATGAATATTTAATTAAACAATTATGCATGATGATAAACTCACTTAATGGGAATTTTCAACGAAAAGACGACCAAATTATTAGTATTTGGTCCTCTATCCACGAACCTTCTTATAATTTCAAGTCCAATTTGCCACATTTCTTACATTATTTTCAATAAAAGCACGAAGTGTTAGAATACAAGGATAATGGTACTAAATGTATTCTTGATGTGAAGTGATTATATAAGAAGCCAGACAGAAGTCACGTTTTCCTTTAGA